TATACTATAAAGCACAACTCTTCGAAGGAGTACCTGTAGTGCAACGAAGGGTTTTATTTGAAAAAGAAAAAACAAATATGCAACTGACGATGTTCCTGACCATGGTAATGTGGCGGGTGAGACTAGATGTTAAGATCTCAGCCAGTCTTCTTTTTTAATCGATCAGCCGATAAAAAAAGTTCATAAAATAACATACAAACAAACCTATTTAAATCACGTATATTTACTTTTCATAATGATATAATAGATAACAAAAACATAAAATAATTACAATTAAAACCATATAACAGAAATACTGTTGTATTTAATAGTGTGCTTTTTCATTTAGATTCTAATTGTGCAATTTCTACTTAAGAACACTAACCACATCCTTGGACCAACATACAAATTTCTTAAAACTCTAAAGGTTAGGTCACGTATAAACAAAGCAAAATAATTGCTAATGCAAATATAGTCAAGACCAAATATTTTCAGTGCACACCAGATACTTCATTAGTTATCGAACATGTCTCATCTAACTTATTTCATATTTGTATGTATATAGTATAGTTGTGACACCTCTTAATGATATCTGTAGTTAGTATTATAGCGTATAGCTTAAATATTATTAAAAATTCTAAGAAATGACTGCACCAGTTAAACCCTCTTTTATAAAACATATAGGTGTGGTATGATTGTCAGTCGTAGACTAAACGATGTAAAATGGAATTTGTGCATATCGTTGTTAGTAAAACGTGTATTAAATATATTATTAAATGGAAACCATAAGGCATTCATGACCATGCACACTATGATAATTGGTACTTTATTTTTTATTGATTTGTCAAATATGCTTTTCAGTTGGATTAAATATGTGAATTTTCTACTGGAAAATATTAATCACTTTCTTGGACCGAAATACAGTTTGCTAAAGACTCAGATAAGTTGATTCATATATCATGCTTTTTGTATGTTTACCCATGAGATCCGATCGTATAAACAGGTTTAGAACTTGCAATATTTTTAAAATCTGTTATAACAATATGTGCACGTTGTTTCAAAGGAAGTTTGGTTTATTTGAAGAAAAAGGTTATATTATATATTGCAAATGAAAGTCAAGTTTGAAATTTAAAAGTGTATTTTATGACAACATAACACGAATGTTTAAATGATTTAATCTTAAAATGTCATGCAGTAATGAATTTCCTACGTTTGTCCTCCCGCAAAGCGTTCGTATTGTAAATATGTATTGAAATGCACAAACCGTGTTAATGCAATTTATCTGTGAAAGTACATCGTAATTATTTTCCTCCTGGAAGGTATCTATTATTCACATATCTGTTGAAATACGAATCCGCTTTATTGTACGTACGCTTTATTTTATTATTCTCATTTGAAATTACTTTATCGTTGTCTAACATAACTTTTTCCATTAGGGAATACTTAACAAATAAGCCAATAACTCCGCGAAAATTCAAAACGGAAAGTCCCTTAGCAAATGGCAAGATCAAAAGCTCAAACACACCATGTGTGTATTTTTCATGTGGAGTTTTTCAAAAGAAACTATAAATCAACCATATGTTACACAGAGTAGAACATGGTTTCAGCTAGATTAAGTATTCATCTTAAAAGTTGGTGTTGATTAAGACTACATATACTATTTGAAAAAAATATGTTGTTGTTTTTCCAAACTTATCAAAATGGGAATGTACCTCTCTCTGGACTCTTGTTTACAATTGGCTATACGTATGTTTTTTTTGTTGTTGTTATATTATATTTTTAACGTTTGTATAAAATCTTAGATTTCCAAGTACTTTGTGTCTGAGCATCACCGAAGGGACATCAATAAAACAATTCGAAATCCAAGAAACAAATACAAATTATATGCAACGGAAATTAAACTTTCGCTTAAAATTAGAAATATTTTCACAATGCAATAAAAAAAGCTGCGAAGATTTGTAATCAAGTCCTTATTATGTGCTGATATCTTGCTAACCCCATAATAAACCCATAGCACGTGCTCCTTCTCATAAGAATTGTTGTTTCAAATTTTGTCAACCAGCAAATCTAGTATTGCATTTCTTAACAAATTTTGCTTGAAATATGAATTTTGTTTAAGCAATAACAATAACAACAATATTTCACAGTAATAAAGCTTGAGCATCACGAACCAAACCCAAACAATGGGTGCTTCAAATGTGGAACCCGTTGTATTTCTCATGCACGTGTAAAACTGGTGATACGTCGAACTTAAGGTAAAACATTGTTGTTACGATACGTTGACTATTTCCATGGTTATATCTGACACATGTATTCAGTAACGATATCTTATAATTTGTGAGATATGTACTTCAAATCCTAGAGTTGCTTGAATATTGCTTCACAAAAATCGAAAACAATTATTCAAAAAAAAATAAAACCATCTCTTCGTTCGTAAGTTAAGATTTCAACAGACATTGACGAATGTAAACGTCTAGACATAGGGTTGAGATCTCACAAAACATGTTTAACCCCGCTGCATTTTTGCGCCTGTCCCAAGTCAGGAACCTCTGGCCTTGTTAGTTTTGATTTAATCTATTACTTTTTGTTTTTGTCTCTAATTATAGGATACATGATATATGATTGTGGTATTTTGGCCCTGTTCCTAGCACATTTAGCTTAATGTGTTGTTGTGAATATAATGGCTTTCAGTAATAGCGTCTCCAAAGGGAATGGTATATGTTAATCTAAAAGGGTATGCATATACTGCTATACCAGCTATAAAGTACTGATTGGATGTCTTCACGCATACACGTAAATAGCAAAATTAGTAATTTGCATTACTTGAACTAGACAAAACTTTATTGGACAAAGAGAAACAGGCAAACATCTTATAGCGTTATTTTTATAATGTCCGTTTTTGTCATGTCGGCCATTATTTTTGCGGCATTAGCAATTAAGGGAATCACATATAGCACGTTTTGACCTGATTTTGATCTTTTATTGAGGTTAATATATATTTACACTGTATGATTAGATTGACAGATGAGTCAAACGAATGTGACTAAATGCTATTGGTAGTGGGATGTGTACCGTATATATCTATACACAGGACGTCCTTATGTTGCAATTCAAAACTGACATACAAACACTGATATATTTGGACGAATAGTATTATTTGATTTAATGTCAGAAAATACAGCCAATCTATTTCCAAGTCCTACAGCTAGCTAATGGTAAATAAAGGCAACAGTAGTATACCGCTGTTCGAAACTCATAAATCGATAGAGATAAAAACAAATCCGGGTTACAAACTAAAACTGAGGTAAATCAATTTGAAAAGTGAAACATAATATAAACTTATCACAGATATAGTTACATCGTAACGGTGCACAACATTGTTTTCATTTGCATGAATTAATGGCCTACTAAAGAAACGATAACAGAGTTGAAATCACTTGGATGCTATATTGTCAAAACAAAGTCACCACTTTTCATCATAAATAGATTAATAATAGATATTTTCTTTTTCTTTACAAAGACGGAAAATCATGTTTAACTTTTCACATGTTCACCATAAATGTTACTATGATTTTTAATTGTTCAATAAAGACATTATAAAATTAGACAGCATAACTACATACCATTGTAGGACGTGTTGATTTTAAGTAATAGAAGAACATTGCTGAGATGTGACGTGAGAATATCTTTTATTTCATTGTAAAAGGCTGCTTATAAAGCCAGTGATGATATGGGTTAAACGTGCGTTTTATCTTGAATACCTTATTCCCAAAGAACATTCATCATAAGTATGTGACAGGTTGGGATTACAATAAACAAATATATTTGAGGAATGTTAAGATGTGGGATGTCATACTTTACTTTGAGTGAACAGAAACAATAGATGTGACCAGTTTAATGCAAGAGGTCTTCCGATTGGATTCAGAAGCTTTGAAGACATAGAAAAATAATCTACAAAGAATCCGTACACATTATAATAGGCATTAGTTGTAAAAGTGGCATTGGTTGTTTTAAGATAGTTTTGGGGTTGGAATTTTTGCGCCGTCTGCGCAGGTTGTTGCGCAATCATATTGTTAGTCATGCTTATTGTCGTAATTCGCTATTAATTTGATTATGATAATGATCTATTTTATTTGAATACATTTAGGAAGATTTGAAAAATTGAAAAATGCAATTTTATAACTTTATGAATATAAAAAAAGGAGATGTGGTACGATTGCAATGAAGTATATTGTTGCCATTTTCATTGTCACAAATGCACTTCCGTTTTAAAAAGAGCATGATATTTGAACCGGAAAAAAGAGAAAGACAAGATAATTTATGATGAACAAAAACGTGGACTGCTTTTCATGAATACTATAATGCAGATCAAAAATTATAGATAAGGATCTTCCTTTTGGTAGCTTATGAAGCAGTTTCACACATGTTTTACCAGCAAATTTGCAAATGATGCACGTAAAAACAATGCGATGTACTGTAAAGTAAGTATTTTATGTCATCTGCTAATAATCCGATCACCAGCGCTCATCAAAGCGATTTTCTACCGAAACAAGCATTTGCAAGAGTGAAATTAACGGAAATGATTTCACAGCAAAATATTGTGAAAAAATAACAGTGACACTCTTATGTTTGAAATTTAACAACGCTTTTGTCCATATTTGTGTTTTTAAGTCAACATATCAGAATTGTAACCACTACATGACAATCAGTATACTGGATAACAACAATCATAATTTGATTTTCTTGGTGTAAAATGCAGGAATCTGTTCTGCGAACAAAATTAAAAATATGTTCATTTTCCACTGTTATTATATGCATGTCTTTCAATTCTGCTCGTTTTAATGGGTTTATCTGCGAAACAAGTAAAGGATTGTTATTATATATTAAACGCGTCAAATTGTATTTAGATCTAAAAGACTGGGAAATTTTATCCTTCGGTTCTGAAAACAAAAGTTTAAGATTTCTGCACGAATAATTTCGCAGCTCTTCCTGTTAATCAGAAATACGGTTTTTCACTTGAATGGTAATATAAATAAAGCATTTCGTTCGTTATCAGTATGAAGAAATCATTTTGTTTTCGTGTTTAAAATATTGAATCGTGACAAAAGAAAAAAGGACATATCGACAAATTGTTAAACCATATCAACGAGCTTTAAACAATACTGACATTTAACTTCATATAATATTAAATTTACATCAGCATTTTCTCTATCATCATTATTTCCTTTTGTGGATTGATTGCAACTGCTTTTAATATATTTAGTTTTATAGTATCGACAATATAATCCAGTTGTGTATTTTACATTTTTTTACTGCAGAATTCTAAACTTACAGGAAAATATATGTATTTTTATCGGATAAAATATAAAAAATAATTCTTTGAAATGAAAGAAGAGACTATATTGTTATTTATACTGAATGTGATGTCAATATCGTCTAGGTCATTGAATGATGTTTGTGACACTAATGACATCCAATGTCAAAATTCACAAATCCCTAAACCAAGGGAGATAATTTACGGACAATGTTACCGCAACGCTGCAATTCGCAGATTACTGAAAGTCAGTTTCCTCACATGTCTTAAAGAATGTATGAAAACATCAACGTGTTCCAATGTTAGTTACAGACGTGACTGGAAAATGTGTGATATAAATGGAAATCTGAACTCGGATGTAAAACTGGTACAGGAATATGGATGTTTTTCATCGGATATAAATTCATGGTCTAGGGTAAATACATAAAAAGCATATAGGATATAAATAATTTCATTGATAAATCCATACAACAGAAAATAGATAAACAACATAACTTGTTGCTGATTACAGGCAAACAGGTAACGGAAAGCAATATAACACACCTTTGAAAGCTGAATACTATTTTAAATATAACAAAGAGAAACATTGCACCTGACGCATCTCGATTCCAAGATAATTATCGTCCTGAATATGCATTTAGTTTGCCACTGCACATTAAACAGCCATCCATCCGTTCAACCAAGATAATAATAAAAGAGATCACATTGTCCGTAATTGATTAAAAGAGATTATATCTGTTGACGTAGTAAAGATATACTTTGATATTCAGGGTATAAATTGCAATTTCTGTAAATAATTCCTTTTCTATGACCTTCCTTTTCATTAAGTGGTTTAACTTTTAATGGCACCTTAAGCATATTCTACTAAAGACCAAACGTTCATTCTGAAGATGCAACCACTAGTTTTGGCTATGGTCTTAAACGCCTGTATTAAAAAAAACTAGATGCTAATAGTAACCTCACTAGCTTTTTGTTTGCTATTCCTTTAATGTTTGCCGAACAACCGCTATCAAATATTTGCTGAAGACAGGTTTAATTTCGGCAAGTGCAATTTAAGGGATTTCTACTGTTCCCTTGGGGGATACAGTGTCATGGATCAATGAAGACCAAAGGGAGATTATGATTTTTCAAAGTTGAAGTTTATGTTTAATCCATTTAAATTAATAATTATAACTCTGAAACTACGAATCATATTTACAAAGAGATTTAAATAAGATGAAGTAAAGCAATATATATGCATTGTAGTTTCAATCCAATCCAATGTGTACATTTTGATTTTCACTTGCTCAAGCTAGACAAGTATATTTCTTGCTCCTTTGTGGACCAGAATTTGACTGTAATAACTTTTTCAGCAAAATACTTTGTTCTACCCATATTTTTAGTACATTCTTGGAAACAAAATTTTGTATATTTTGTTACATGCATTACTACTGTAGCTGTATCACAGATAAACAGCATTCCTTCCAATACATTTTGTATCAGAAATCAAGCGGCATCTTCATTATTTTTCCCTCTCGATGATTCTCAATTTTAGCGTGATTGCATTTCAAAAACGGGCAAAATGATCCAGCTTTGTTTTTCATAATTTTTAAATAATATACACGATCGATTAAAAGGGTATCAATTATGAAAACGTATTTATTTAAAAATTTGTAATCTAGTGAATCTATTTGGACTCTAGAATTTCAGGTGGAATCGGTTGAAAAAAATTCGGAAGGACACGAATTCAGAAGAACTGCTTGTTGTGAATTTCAGAAAACACTCTAAATTATTCCTTTATTTCAGACACTAATTGGCAAATGTGCTAGACACAATTGTGCAGAAGGACACAAATGTGTTTTGAAAGGAGATACAACTATATGTGAATTGGCATGTAAGTTTAATAACAGTTTCTAATAAAGAAAACAGAGGGCCATAACATTGTAATGTTTTATTCTCTACTTTATTCCATCTTTTAACTGTTCTTTTGAATGATTATCTAATACCACTGTCACCTATGCAAATGTTGAAATGTAAGTGACGTTACCTTTTTATTGATAGGAATATAAAATCCTTCAAGTTTTTTTATTTTCAAAAAAGGTTCGAACGTGGAATTAACAGCTCTAAATGCGATAAAAATCTATGGTAAGTCGTTCTTATCAAAACTATGTTTAAGCAAGTTTTCGAAAAATTTACACACTGAGAATTTAATTACACACTGAGATTTTCAAAAATACACACTGAGATTAAATAAACTGAAAAAGAATTGCGAGTTGAAAATTACACATTTAAAATTGAAAATTACACACTGAATATTGAAAATTACACACTGAATATTGAAAATTACACACTGAGATTAAGTAAACTGTAAAACACTCACCGAAAATTGAAAATGACACACTGAGAATTAAAAACTACACTCTGAGATTAGTTCGTACATTTTATGCGCACTTATCTTATTAGCATACTTAATCAGAATCTATTGCAGGCTTGGATTATCACTAATTGGAGAACAGAAGCGTCAAGAAGCGAGAATAAATTCAGATTTAGAACGCATAAATTGTGCTCACAAATCTCAGTGTGTAATCTTCAATTCTTCGTGTGTAATTTTTAATTCTCAGTGTGTCATTTTCAATTATCAGTGTGTGTTTTTCAGTTTAGTTAATCATTGTGTAATTTTAAATTCACAGTGTGCAATTTTCAATTCTGAGTGAGTATTTTCAGTTTATTTAATCTCAGTGTGTATTTTTGAAATCTAAGTGTGTAATTTTAAATTCTCAGTGGGTAATTTTGAATTCACGGTGTGTTTTTAAGACTTTTAATCTCATTGTGTAACTTTTTAGAAAAATTTCTTAAACATATGTTTGACGAGAACTTTTGTTCACATTATCAGCGTATGCCAAGGTTAAGTGATCAAATTGTCTCTACAAACATAATTTAATGTAAAAATAAATTTTAGATTGTATCGGAAATCCAAATGTGAGCAATGCTCTATTGAATGAACCATTTGGACTTTCAAGAGACCTGGGCCACGGCATGATGTATAAGTGTATAAAAGGAATGAAAATATCTGGGAAACCTTTTGCTGTCTGTCGAGAAACAGGAAGATGGAAATCTATGTTTATCTGTGGTAAGACGTTTACACGGTATAGCTTGATACTCCATAAATTAAGCCGACATTATTTTACCGATATTTTTGTCTCATGAATCGATAAAAAATAGACCAATTAAAGGTAACAAACAAAAATAGCTTCAAATCAAAAGCATGAATATAAATTATTTTGGATAAAGAGGGATGGCAAAACAAATTGTCCTGTCGTCAAGTATCTGTGAAAAGTATGAACAAAAATACCGAACTACAAGTTAATTCAAAAAGGAGATAGTCCATAAAACCAGACAAAATCAGTCATCGTTTGGTCGTCAACATAAATGTTGTAACCACACCATATGCAATAGGAATGCAGGTTCAAATAGGTCAATCTCCTGATAATTCTAAGCTAATTCTATAATTGCATTTGTTATATGCTATTGTCTGGTATATTAATAACTATCAAAACACTTTACATCTGATAAGTAGATACCTATAATGTGTAAAATATAGCTTAGATATTCAGGGGAAAATATTAAATGAACTTATCTGTAATGAACTTATAGTATTATACTAGAATGACATTCAGTTAAGGTATTGTATTTTATGTTTTTTTCTCTCAGAAATACAATGTGAGAACGGATGGATAGAATTTGGTGGCCATTGTTATTACATCGGACCTGATAAAAAAACGTGGGAAGATTCTGAGGTAAGTGGCATATGGTGGACAATTTTACACTAACTTGAGTAACGATGATATGAACAGTAAATAGCCCAATTATGAAAATGACGTTGATGAATTTGATTTTAAGCTATGCAAGTTGTATAAGTCGGCGAAACTAAAAGTAATTTAAGCAAGGTGCAAATTCATTCCGATTTTAACCATCTATGTGTTATAATCATATCTCATTCCTACAACACGATTAGTACAGTATTAATTGATTGATTGATTCATAAATTGGTGTTTGAACGACACTTTCAGCACTATTGGCTACTTCGTGGTGCTTATTTTTTTATTGGTGAAAGAAGCCGGATTGCGTAGAACAAAACCATCGACCCTCGGCTGGAAAACTGACAATCCTTGCACTTACAGTCCTTGGATGGTGTAAACCTCCCACCAACACCATACACCATTACACCATTCACCATACACTATTACACCATACACCCTGTGCCATTACACCATACACGTTACACCTTTGCACCATACACCTTACACATTACACCATAATGCAATTTAATTTCAAAGAAAGCGTGCGACTTCAAAATTATTTATTTATTTTAAAAAACGAATTTTGATTACAATATTGTAAATTAATGTATAAAATTAAAAATCAGTTCTTATCAATATTTTGCATAGTTTTAAATGTCGTACATCATTCATTCACACCATTCCCAATCGCACGTTACACCATTACACCATTCTCCTTACACCATACACCATACACCTTCTACCATAGCACCATATGCCATACACCAATACACCATACACGTTTGTTTGGGAAGTTTACACCATCCAACGGCTGTATTACAGTAAATATATTTGAAACAAGTGTCGCTTAGTCCAAAGATGGGCATTGTTAATTATAAACCACTTGATTTTATGCTTCTTTTTAAGTCTGGCATTTAAATATAAAGATCTGAGAACGTTATAACTGATAATCAAAATAAGGCAATATGGACCCGGTCACTCGTCTTTTGTTTAGACCCTGTTTCCCTTCTCGGGATAAACATTTTTTTGTTACTTTAATTAAATGAAGGAACTTTTTCTTAAATAAAAAAACAGGAACAAGAATATGTTTTTTTTTCAAATCAATTTTGTTTGTATGTATTCACTCATTGTGATTAGAAACAAAATGTTTTTCTCTGTCCTTCTAAAACAATTATCTTGTTTTCAAGAAATTTATAACCAAATGATAACACCCGCCATCGCCTGTTTAACACACACCAACATTGAATGGTCGGTGCCAAAATATTCTCTACGAAACTAATAAGCCCAAGGTGGCACGGTAGTATTTACCGGGTCATAGGGATAATAATAGCATTTTAGAATGTTCACCACGTTCTTTCATTGACACAGAACCTAAATACACAGTTAACTTTCATTATAATATTCAGAAAACAAATTTGAATAGGTATGATGACCGTTTCTTTTTCCTGCTATCTTTATTAACCTAAGGCCATTAGTGTTTTTATGTCTTTTATCATGCAGTGAATACAAAAAAAAAAAAAAACCTAACAAAAAATTCATGTTCACCTGTGTGTAAAATCATTTCATATTTTCTACACCTGATTCATCCCATAGCTTGGGATAAAATGTTCACTAGATGCTGGTTTTTTTTTTGTTCATTCAGAGTGTGCAAATACATTAACCTAAGTAAAGTACACAAAAGTGCAACCTAGTTCCCGGAAAGTAAATACAAGCGTGCCACCTTAAAGTCCAAAATACTCTTAGACAGATTCCATAACTTGAATATATATACATAATTATTTACGGAGGTGACAATCCCGCATTATTCTAAATGATACTAATGTTGTGTGGGTACTCTTTTTATGTTTTTGTAACAAGTGAAGATAGTTTTACATAACATTATCAGAATTTTATCCAATCATCGGCAAATTATAAATACGTCTTTTTGCCAGTTACCGATTTGGTTCTGTTATTTCACAATTTTAACACAAATTGTTTTCTTTTCCCAATCGTAGACTTGGGCTCGACTGAAACAATGTACTGCTGCCTATGCAATGCATAATACATTTAACGTGATTTGCAGGCGTTTTGATATTTTAAATGACTAACAACTATTGATATCAACATTTTTTTTTGCCTAACAAAGATTACATGTAATAAAAAGATTTGCAAAACTAATAGAGTCCACACAATACACACTGATACATTTGCTCTTTTCGCTACTTCTGAATAGTCAATGAAATGTTTGTTCCTTCTAAGGGATACAACATGTACAAACTAATCTAGGCAGGGTCGGCTACGGAATTTGAAATAAACTATTGATTTATAATGACTTTACACATATATGCATGTTATTGACCTATTTGTAGTGATCTCGTTCGATCATGGATATGTAGGTTTTCAAGGTTATCACCATCAACTAGAAGAAACAGGTTCCGTACGGCTCTGATCATGTGCAAAGAACAGCATAGTGTAATCTAACGCAATTAGGTGGAGTTTGTCAGTTATTTATCACTAGGGTAAAGCAGATTCACTTAAGTTACCTATATCCCAACAAGGAAGACGCGAAAATTCGTTAATACAATATTCATCAATTTGTCAATTCTGAACTACTTGAAGCTAATTGAATTCTTTGTTTAATGTTCAAGATTTCCAGATTTTCCATGCAGAATATTCAACATAACAAAAAGGGGTGGTGTTTCTACGAAAACCCTCAATTGATAAACATGTTATGATTCCGATAACTGACATTCATCATGTTTTTGATTTCTCAAGGATATTAGGCGTACTTCAATTTGGGAGATGATCACTACTGTACGTTGATGTTTACAAAATGTCCTTTTTCACTTCAGATGGCTTTAATTTTCCTTATGTTAACATTTACTACAACACAAAAGTTACCTTGAACAATGTTGAACAAAGCCTTACAGCAACAAAAAATTATATAATGTTCTCTTATTGAAACCTGACGTTCACTGCGGAAAGCGGCTACACGCAACTTTTAAGTGATGAGCCTTTTAAGATGAAAAACGCGGGAATATTTGAGTATATTTGTTTTTATTTTTTCTATTGTTGTCCAATTACAGAGAATATAATTACTTTTTTTGTGTTTTGGTCATGATTTCAATTTTTACAATGCAGAATTTTTACCAAAACAAAATTTAGTATAATTCCAACAAAACCAAAATCACGTAATTCGTGAATATGCTAGTATATTTGTACACGAAATGTATGATTGAATTAAAAACTGAACTTTAGAGACGATCATTATTGTAGATAAGTTTTAAAAATCTTGAACAGAGATTTTTCCATGTTTTTATTAAGAAAGTTTCGATGCATCCTTGTACAAGAACATGAGTTACTCTTGTCTTATTGTCTCAATGAAAATCATAGCACATTTCCTAATCTATATTGAACGATACCAAACACATTCACCGTACCCATTTCCCCCATAGTTTTCTATAGCAATGCACTGTTTTCCAGGCCAATCGAAATTTTGGAGAAGAGCAATTGATATATTGTTAACTTATTCTCATCTTGAATATGCACATGATAAAGTTTCGAGTATATTAACAAAGTTACGGGCATCCCTACAATTCCTACCTCAAATGATACCATTATCGTAATATTTCAGTTACGCGTATATTTGTTGATTTCTATTATTTCTTTTTATTATAAGGATTCATCTGTGTATAGCCTATAATGTTTTTACAAAAAGAATTATACCATACTATACAACATTTTTATAATTTTCAGGCTGAAGGCGTTCTTCATCTTGATATGTTGTACATGTACCTTAAATTACGCGTACACATTTTCCCAATGTGATTTTGGAAGATCGCTTGTGTCTTACAAATTATATAGTGCACATGTAAACTTTACTGTGGCAATATTGATAAACAAATGACACACATATCGATTGGACATTATCGTTTCAGACTGATTGCCAGAGGAAAGGTTCTCACTTGGTTAAAATAGAGGATGCATCTGAAAATCTCTGGCTGGAACAAGTTATGATTGGTGAGTTTTCTTTAATTGCCTATCTGGCAAAATATTTCATATTGATATATAAAATTCGAGCAAAACAATTAGTTATATGAGATTCCCCCCCCCCCCCCTCGCAAAAAAATATTCCTCCCCGAACAGTCATCCAAAAATCATACCGACCTAAGAATTAATTTGAAGATCTAAGTTTCTTATTCAACGATTTTGCTGTTTCAAGTTTCCCTCACCAAAATAATGTCCAAAACCATTCATATACAAATGATCAATAATTGAAAAGCATAAATTCATCAAGAAATTGTGAGTGTTTTGGTTCTGTTCTTCTGCATTATGCTTTTACCGTTTTTTAAGATCGCAACCATATTTAATCCCGCTACATTTTTACATGTCTGTCCCAAGCAAGAAGCCTTCACGCTAGTGATTGTCGTTGATTTTTGTCTGCAATTATTGAATTTCGTGTATTGATTCACTATAAATAAGGCTGTTGGAATGCTCTTTTAAATTGTTTCACATTTAGTAATTCTGGCGCCTTTAAAGCTAACTTTACAGTTAGCTTTTTTCCTCGTTTATTGAAAGACAAGTGCTTACCTGTTAGTATTCACGTCCCTTTCCTTTGGGTAATGTGGATAGTTCTCTCATTAACTCCATTCATCATGACAAAATATTGTGACAGAGCGTAAGATAAAGCAGTAATAACTGTTTATGAAGTGTGAACATCTTATTTTGAAATCTGATAATAGTTATGATTGCTCAGTTATGTATTCTACACAGTCACACAATTGTATTTTTCACAGTTTGTTCTATATAAGAGCCATTGCAGTTACGTCCTTGATTGATATCAACGTTATTATTTTATTAATATAGACATCATAAATTGGTCATGACTGTTAGTTTATATTATTACATATATAGAGATATAGTGCTGATGTAAGAATCCGCCTGTGGATATTTAAATGGAAATAATAAGTAATTGTTGGCTTCCTGCTATTTATGGTGAATCACTGTTTGTTTTAGCCCTTACGTACCGATTGTGTATTGTAATTACGTGTGTACATTTTGCAAGTGAATTGGATTAAAAAAGGGAGGATTGATGTCTTAAAAAAGAAGTTGAACATCGTCCCATATTCAAGAACCTGTTCAAAGTGAGAAAACTCGTCCATGGTTGTTCTTAATACATGTATGTATCGTGATAATTGGAAATTTCGGTGTTGACTTAGGACTTTTGATAGTTTGTTTAATCTAATCACAAGTACTACTTCTGGGGCACTTAAGATAACTCCTGGTTTTTGGTTGAGTTCTTGTGTCTGGGTCTTTAATTTTCTATGTAGTGTTTTATACTATTGTTTGTCTTTTTATCGTTTTCGTTTTTTACCATTGTCCTGTAGGTCTCTTTTATATATATTAAGAATGGAAACGGGGAATGTGTCAAAAAGACAACAACCCGAACAAAGTGCAGAAAACAGCCAAAGGCCACCAATGAGTCTTCAACACAGAGAGAAAATCCCGCACCTGGAGGCGGACTTCATCTGGCCTCTTAACAAAAATGTGTACTGGTTCAGCGAAAATGGACGTCACACTAAAAACTCCAAAACATATAAATGAACCAAAAATTTAAAAAAAAAAACGCTAACAAGGCTAACAAAGGCCAGAGGCTCTTGATTTGGAACAGTCGCAAAAATGCGGCGGAGTTAAACATGTTTTGTGAGATCTGAACCCTCCCCCTATAATATATACATGTCCTTTTGCTATCATCCGCCACTTTTGTAATACACTCGTAACGATCAATGTATAACTTTGGTATATTATTTGTTTGTTGTAGAATAGTGTGTGTTACCCGTAAGATGTCTTATGGATATTGAATTCCTTGAACTGCTGTTGAATGCTTTTATTCATAGTACAATCGATCTTGACGGATATTTCTGCTGTCAGTTTTTCCCTTCTTCCACCGTTTGGTATCTTATTCCTTTGTTATATTTTCAATCATGGCGGTTACTATGGATAATAGACCAACAAGTAATTCATACACTAAAATCTTAACGCACTGAGGATCATAAGAACTCATTTGGTTTACATAATTTCCGTTGCTTCCGATGTATCGATCTTTGAAACATGACTGTACATGATAAGTAGAAATGTCATTCAATGGCAAGAACCTCGATAAACAGACAATTGGCAGATTCGGTCTAGTGCATTAGTTGAGACCTAGTATTGCTGATTAATAGGATTATAGGAAGAAATACTATAGCTTTGATAAAATTGCTTTTTAAAACCAATTACTTCTTTAGGGGATCAATGAATGATTTTAATTCATGTTTGCATTTTTAAAGCTCATGTATTGCAGATATATTTTTCAGTTTATAGTTTCTGTCTATCTATCATTGTTTTGTTTTATAATATGTCAAAGTGCTTAAATTAGTACAAATTATCAGTTGAATGCAATGGATCAAAATATTATCTAGACACCCTAAGGACCAATTATTCAAGTATTATTCATTTATTCAGTAGTTTCACAGAGATCTATTACGTCCACAAACATTGCCATAGTGAAACAAACACCTATTATTAGCCTCTAGACAGATAAGCTAAAAATCAAAGTCAGATGATGTGGTATGATTGCCAATGCGACAGCTCTGCACCAGAGACATAATGACGTAGAATTCAGCAACTATAAGTCACCACTCTGTCTTCAACAATGAGTAAAAACCATTCCGCATAGCAATGTATGAATGGGTTCGGCATGACAAATGTTAAACAATTCAAACGAGAAAATCTAACGATCTGATTCATGTACAAAACAACAAATGAAAATAAATATGATATACAGCATCAAACGACAACTTCTGAATTACAGGCTCCTGATATGTATGTTTTATACTGGCTGATTTTGGTGAAATCTTATCTCATCGGAACAAATAGTGATATACTCGTGCATATGCTGTTAATGAACACCATGCTATTAAGATTAATCCAAACGCTATCATTAGATGTTGTACAAACAGTTTTTATTACAGAACTATATAATATTTCTAATACATCAAATCGTTGCAGCTCATTGTTTATAAAATCCAAATCTACATGTATGTTATTTTTCAGAGAAAAACATTGATAGCCTGAGAATTGGTGCACATGATAGTGTTCAAGAAGGAAGATGGCGATGGATTTATGATAACACATCTGTAGATTTTACCAACTGGGGTGATAAACAGCCTAATAATTATGATAATCAGGATTGTGCAGAATTGTTGAAATCCTCTTCGTACCGATGGAACGATGATTTTTGTACATCGTTGTTGCGATATATATGTGAGAAATCGATTGGAGCTTAACATTCTTCACCAAGGTGTAGATGTATGTTATCTTACTTTTGCTTATGACACTACCAGCATTAACATTCCATAATACAATGTTAATTTTCAAAGTTATGTTGTTTCTAACGTATTTAGGTATTTATACATCCTTAGCTTCAAATATTTTATTTTGAGCGTTTCAAATGAACACTGTGTCTAAACTATCAAAAACAATGTTTGGACTCAATAGTATATAATATCCGGTACGGTGACGAATCATCAACAGACAATGAAAAGGTAGAATTTCTGTTTATTTTTTTGTTATTTTTATGATACTGAAGAATATAGATACACAGTTTATTATAGTGACAGTGTGTATAACAAAATATGCACAATATTGAAATATTTCAATTAAATTACACCCGGCCCAATGGACCTATCAGTCACTTTAAATAGATACTATAGTATTAATTCAGATTGACATCAGGAATTTATATACATGTTAATTATTTAAATATAAGTGTTGTATGCGTTTAGTTAATGACTGTTCTAAGTATCGAGCTGTTTTTCGAGGATATTCAGACAATAATACATTAAACTTTTCACTGTTATTCAAATTCAATACGATTTCACTAAGTCCAGAGAATAATTGATTAAGTAGCCCATTGTAAAATTCGCATTTAACCAGAAAGTGTAGTTCATTTTCAACATTTCCGGAGTCGCTCATCTACATATTCGTTGGTATTCTGGCTCACCAACAAAACTTCCTTTTTCCAATCTTAGCGGAAGAATGCCACATCTAAATTGGGCCAGTACCGATCTTTCTCTACGTTTTAAATTGGGTTTAATATATGTTTCTGTTAAATATATAGATTTAAAGGTTCTATATGTACGCAGTTTCGGAAAGTTAGATAAGAGTGTATGCCATTTTGTTTGACATCTATCCATAAGATTGTTTCTGACACTTTTAACATCACATTTTAGCATTTGTTGAAAGTTATCATCCATACCAACTAAGGACATTATTGTTCTTACACTAGATGACCAATTGTTCGTATATAGTTCGTAGTCCCATAGGAACACCTTTTTTTCAAAGTCTACTATTGTCCATATCCATCAATCGGTTCCAGTATCTAACCATATTACACCAGCGACGTTCTTTTGAAGGTAACCATACAACATCTCCGTTGATAGCCATCTTTGCGAACTCCTAAAAAGTGTCTAATGGCCTTGTTTTGAACAGTGTCGACACAAATAAAGTCTTTATAACCCCACACTGAAGAACAGTAGTCGAGTATAGGCACAATACAAGAGCCATACAGTTTTTCATAAGTCTTTATGCCAAATTCTTTTAAACTGTGTATCTTCGATATAATAGCTCCGAGTGCTCTTCCTCCAGCTGTAGAAAGATTTTCAGCATTCGACGTATAATCTGTTTTCTCATTGTAAATAACTCCAAGGTATTTATATTTGTCTGTAATTTGCAAAATGTTTCCTCCGATTCTGAACTGAAATTCACTCCGTTTTTTACGAGATGCTCTGACTTGTCTGTATTTATTAAGACTCTCCATTTTTTTGCACCAATCATGCAATTTATCTAGCATCTTTTGCATATCACATTCATTCTCGGTCATCAAAACAATATCGTCCGCATACAGAAGTAAAGACAATTTCGATTCTCCAATATTAATACCAAGTCCACGTGCATTATTTTCATCAACAAGATCATCAATAAAAAACAGAAAATAATGTCGGAGATAAATGATCACCTTGTGTTACACCAGAGTTACATAAAAAACAATCGGACATTTTATTGTTTAATCGAATACTTGCGGTTGTTTGCATATATAAACTTTTAATAGAATTATATGTTTTCCCATCAATATTGTTAAACAATAGTTTGTACAGCAACATATCACGATCTACGAAATCAAAAGACCTTTTTAGGTCAATAAATGTAGCAATAACATTTGGATTGTTTTTTATTATGCTGTTAAGGGTGAATATATGATCCTCACACAAACGATTTTTACGAAAGCCGTTTTGTTCCTCAGAAAGTAAATCATTATCCTCCAGATATGAAGTCACTCTATTGTTTATAAATCCACTGTACAGCTTCGAAACACACAACAACAAACTGATTCCTCGATAATGTAGAGAATGCGTTTATCTGATGATTTGTCTTTAAGTATCGGACAGATAATGGCCTGATGCCATAATGATGGGACAATGCTTGTGTCGAAAACTAGTTGAAACATAAAATATAGGACGGTGATAACGTTTTCTGTCTTCAATACTTCATAAGGGATATTATCAATTCCACACGATTTACCGTTTTATGTTCTTGAGACAAGTCGCCTAATTTCATCTATAGTTATAGCTGAATTCAACTCTTCATTTTCAATAAACAAAGGATCGAGCATTCTGTCTCCTAATAAGACTTTATGACTAGAGGAATATCAATGAAAATTACCATCAAAATCGTCCGCTGAATTATCCATATCATATATTGTTTGAAAATCTGTTTTCCATTTTTCTAAAACAACTTTTTCATCACTAACAATCTCACCACCTTTGTCATATATTTCCATTGGAATAAAAGAATGTCTACGATGCCCTAGCTGTTTGATTTTGTTCCAAAAATCCGTTGGATTATTCGTCGTCATAGTTTCAATGTCAGTGCACATACTTTGCTTATATTGCCTTTCATACTGGCGTAGCTTGCGGTCAAAGTTTTTTTGCGCTAACTGAAACTTTGTTCTTAGTTTATTTTTCACATTGGTACGTCCTTTGAACTACAAGTACTGTTTTTCTGTTAAATGCATATTATTCCATAATGTTTGTAGTTCATCGTTCCAAAAATGCTTTTTCACCTTTAGCAGTTTTTTCGAGGATCCAATGGTGTTAAAGACTGGAATTTTTTCCGTTCATCTCCTTAATTATTATATCGAAAAGTTCCGTGTATATATTATCTATATTTTCCTGAGTGTCTATAGTTTGTTCAATGTGACTTATAACATTTTGCAAAGCAAGTTTACACATATCAGAAGAAAACATTAATTTCTATTTAAATCGCTTCGTCGATTGAGTAGGGCTGCCTGGAATGTTGTCTGTGAATGTGGATTTTATAGATTTAAATTATGTTACTAAGACTGAATGATCCGGAAGTTTGCTACGTTCACCAAGGAAGTTGAAAAGATTTGCCTTTTCTGCAAAAGATCTTGTTGTGATTGTTTCAAACGAAATACACTGGTCTAGATAATCTTGCGGGACACAAATGTAGTCTACCACAGATTTCCCTCTCCCTGAAATGAATGTGAAGTTATCTTTATCTTGATCGAATTTTCTATTCAAGACGCACATTTCGATTCGTTCAAAAATTCCAAGAAGGTGTTCCATGTTGGTTAACGGTTTATCAAGCGATAATCGTAACGGTAATTCATCAAAATCAGAATAATCCTTCAGGGATCCTATTCTTGAGTTAAAATCGCCACAGAGAAAAAATGGCGTCCGTATCGCATTGTTCGTATATATCAGATAAGATGTGTGCAAAATATCCTTGTGAGTCTCTTCCCCAAACTGAGTTTTCCGGAGGAAGGTGGCACGAAAATACAATAAAGTTGAAATCTGTGCTTTTTGACTGAAATTTACAACATATAACGCAATCTCGAGTTATGTCAATCGTTTCATATTTATATTCTTCAAAAATCCAGTTTTTAATCAAGAGTCCTACACCACCTGATGCCTTTGGGGCATTCATATGTATGTATTGTCTATTAAATCCATTCCAAGTGTAACCATCAACTTCAATTTCATCGATTTCTTTCAAATGCGTTTCACAGATGCTAAAAATGTCGGCATTCACTTCTTGTAAAATTGCTGTACGTAATTCCTTATTATTTTGAGTCCATCCGCATATATTAAAGTGTCCCATTCTAATATTACTATTGTTCCGGGTGTTGTCCTAATCGTTCTTTGTTTCCATGTCAGTATTGTCAGTATCAGCAACCGATTCATTCGATTTTTTAAGAATTTTTCCTTTTGCGGTAACTCTGTACGATTTACCTTGTGGTAATTCCCGTAAAATCGTGTGTGTATTTATTTCGATTAATAGTTCAAAACGGGATTTAGAGGACTGGATGTAAACATGTTTGTAATAACCAATATCTTTCAACTTATGTTTATTTCTGAGTATAAGTATTTTCTGATCCTGACTTTGAAAACTGATTTTAACGAGACCTGGTTTGTTGTGGAATCTTGTTTTCAAGCGTTTTTTGCAAGCACAGATATTTGAGAAGAAACTTCGACGAAGCTGTCTATTAGCTGTTAAATTTTGTCTGGGAGATTCTCGGCTTCAATGAATGGTAATTTTTTTACTATTACAGTTACGTCATTGTCGTTTAACGGGTCTACCGGTTGTGTATTACCTTTAACACCTTGATCATAATATTGATTGTTGAAGCCTTGGTCAGTATGATTAGTAATGAAGTTTTCAACTTGACCAACACGTATTGAAAGTGTTTGAACTGAGTTCACCAAGTCATCTTAACGTGACGATTCTCTAGCTATGTTTAAATCAATATCAGCTTTTAATATTCGAATTTTCTCGTCAATTGTAGATATAACATAATTTCTTAGCTTATCAATTTTCAATTCAAACATCTTTTTCATACTGTCCTGTCCATCTTTAATTTCTTTAATACTTTCCACTATTGATTTTATAGAGGACTGAAGATCGTCTGCATTGGCCATTTTTGTTTGTTTACTTTCGGGACGAGGGGTCTCACCTTTTGATGATCTTGTTCTTTTATTCTTGTATTTTAGTGTATTTTGCATCACATTTGCAAATAAAGTTCACTCTTTTCCATAGCATTGATATATATAATATATAAATGAAACTAATATTTAAATCCACAAGTTTATCAAAAATATAATGGAGACATTTTTTTTACGTCTGTTCCTACCTGTGGCATTCTTCTGATTCGTAACTATTTTCGATTGTGGGATGTTATATTTTCTACAACCGAGAAATAAGTAAAAAGGCACGTCAACATGATGAATTGAGTGAACATTGCCTCGAATTTGTTTAATTTCTAGTTGAATTGTGCACATTGTACGGAAAGAACGGTCACTTTGAGCACCTCTATATTTGAAATAATGTGCATGAAACGAAAGAAATGGGTCATGTTAAAATTGAAGGACCCGGTTTTGTCAATGTGTACAACCCGGTTTTATCCTAAAATGTCACAAAGCAGGACTCGGTTTTGTCATAGAAAATAATGCATAATCGTATAACGTAAATTAAAATCCATCATTCAACAAGTTTGATGGCAAGTTGGAAAACCGATTCATTCAGAGGACAACTTATTATTCATTTGAATCCGTAAACTCTTGAATTCCTGCTTTATTGATAAAAACAATAATTTTAATTTTTCTTACATAAAAACGAATACTTTTACTGCGAAATACAAAGAAATGAAGGTTGTAACGCAATTTGAGGTTTAAGCCATCTATACGTTTTTTTAATATGAATTATGTAAATTTAAATGTTCAAACTTGGATAGTGTTTAACAATTGTACGGCCTTGAAAATTGAAGGACGCACATTTGATATAAGATTTTCTTTGACAACAGGATGGTTATCTTAATGAATATTCCACTATTCCTAGGTGGTGTAATCTTTCTAAATATCGTCTGGAAAAAATGTTCATTATAAGGCAAGAGAATGAGACAAATGTGTATGCATGAATTTTCATGAGGCGCAAAGGATCACGCGTTAGAAATCTGTTTACCCCTTCTTGTAACTATTATACTAAGTATGAATTAATAAAACAGTCTCAGTCCAATCAGAAAATGCCATAATGATTTTTTTATTTATAATTTCATAAATAAACGGTTCTTTTATCTCTCCATTGTGTAATGATTATCGTACATTGACAAATGTTTTACATTTTAGTGACGTCGGTCAAGATTTCTAATTGTCAATATACAATGGCGGATCCAGGAGCCGAGCGTAGCGAGTGGAAACATTTTTGGACAACTTTATGCTAAAAATATCATTTATAAATCGTGAAAAACATGATATAATAATCTTTGTTTGCCAATAAACGGGATGTACGCCCTCTACGTCCCCCGATCCGCCACTGATATATTATTACTATATCGTATACCATCTTAAAATTGTATAAGAAACGGGAAAACAGGGATATCAACGAAATTGGATGTATGTGAATTCGATTATCACGTTTGTTTTAAAATTCTCATTGGTATTTTGGTCTCGTCGGAATACGAAACCAAGGAATGCAAATTCGTGGCGGCTAAAACTATTTGTATAAATCAACAAATAAATCCAGACTAATCATAGGTGTTGTTTAAAGCAGCTGTAACAGCATTTAAGTTTTCATGAATAAGTTCATGCAATGACTCATCTGCTCTCTCAATAGTCACATTTTCTGTCATCTGAAGTATTTCTAAAAGATTATTTTGGTGTTGGAAATGTTTAACAAGATGATAAGTATATACATTTTTGGGGTATCGTTATATTATAACCAAGTTGAGTTTTAGACCCCCCACCCCAAATAAAAATTAATTATCGAAATCAAAACTTTCTTACCTTAAAAACATGTATGTATTAAAGTAAGAGGTAATTATAACAGCTATAACTTTAAGCGGCACTCGCGCATTTACTATACAGACTCTGTAATCGAATAAGTTAGGCCCTTTTCAACTGATTTTTATAGTTTGTTCTAATGTTGTGCTGTTACACCACTGTGTAAAGGTTAGCGCCAACACGTTTTACAACGCCATTTCATATGTGCCAGTCCCCAACCCAGGAGCATATAATTCAGTGGTTGTCTTTTGTTGCTTTACATCATATTTGCTTTTCGTTTTTTGTTTTGTACATACATCAGGCAGTTAGTTTTCTCGTTAGAATTGTTTTAC